TTATCGCGGGGGATCCGTACCCTGAAGCCCTGTGATAAGTGAAAAACTGCAAATTAGGAATACTAGTACAAGTAGAAAGTAGTAGTATATATATATATATATATATATATATATTAGGGCTGCACAATATTATTGGCATGGTATCGGTATCAGCCGATATTAACGTTAAAGTTAAATATCGGACATCGGTCATTCCATCAAAATAACTCAATGCTATAAAAGACGCTGTTTTCACCTGCAGCTGCAGCACAGCGCTATGACGTCATGCGCACCTACCTGATCTCACGGCAGAGAGGAAAATTCAAAATGTCAGCAGTGTGGAAGTTTTTTTTTTTTTTATTGAGGATGTCGGATTCTGAAGAATTTTGGACTACGTTGAGCCTCGCTACATCGTCCCCAGTCGGAGATATTTTTCCGACGTAACCTTACCCAAGTTACAAGCCGTCATTTCCAACGTCACAGAGAAGCTAATAGCTGATAGCACGACTTGTTGGGTGAGTTTTATCACAGACATTTGGACGTCATGTTAGCCCCGTTAGTATGATTAGTCTTATAGCACAATGGATAGATAAAACAATTGAACTTAAAAAGGCTGTACTTTTTCCCTGTGATGGACTTGCGACCTGTCCAGGGTGTACCCCGCCCCTCGCACAGTGATTGCTGGACGTGGGCACCGGCGACCCCCGTGACCCAAAATGGAATAAGCGGGTAAAAGATAATGGATGGATATGTTAAAGTGCTATGCATATCATATGGCTGTTACTGAATATATGTCACCAGCTCTTACAGCTGTTGCACAATTTTTGTTGCAAATAAGCCTAAATAGGAGTGCTATGTTCTGTTATATATATATATATATATAAATGCATTTTAAACCCTTCCCACACTCTTACAATATTGTAAACAATGTTTCTAAACACTCTAAAATCACACAGAATGTCATGATGTCAGCTCTCTGCCTCCTCTGCTCTTTGCCACCTGCAAGCGCTTTTGGCCACGCCCACTTCTCAGCTCTGCATGGAGAACAGCTGATCAGCTGCAGCAGGAAGTGCATCCAGCAGTATGGGCTGCACAAATGTACATCAGGTGCTAAATAATTTTAAATAATTAATTTTAATTTAAAAAATCCATGCCGATTGTGCGGCTCATCCATCAATCAGCCAGCTGTGTGTCATGTCCAATCTTACTTTGAAAAACCACGATAGAGCGAGTGCACAATAAACGAACCTCAAAGTAGCGAGGGACCATTGTATATAATTCAGACCTGATGAAATCTGATTACGTTCAACATTTATGAGCTGCTGACTCTCGGTAGAAGAAATATGGCAAACGAGTTTCCTTGCGCAAATCTGAGGCTGCATGCATAAATGTATGCACGTTGAGTAATGATGGGATATTAGCATGAGAGTCAAATAAGAATGTGAGCATTTATTTATGGAAAATGTAAAATTATTGACAATAAAGTATGAAGAAATAGCTTTTAAAACACGCACTGGTTCAGATAGTTACAGTAGATAGTTGTTGCTGAAAGGTGGAAATGCAAAATTAACCTTAAATGTCAGATTTTATTAATAATGGGTAATTTTTTTTTTTTTTTTTTTTTTTTTTAGCAGCACGGTGGTGCAACTGGTAGAGCTGCTGCCTCTCAGCGAGCAGGTCCCTGGTTCAAACCCCGGTCCAGGGGCCTTTCTGGGTGGAGTTTGCATGTTCTCTCCGTGCATGCGTGGGTTTTCTCCGGGTACTCCGGTTTCCTCCCACAGTCCAAAAACATGCATGTTAGGCTGATTGGTAACTCTAAATTGTCCCTAGGTGTGAGTGAGTGAATGGTTGTTTGTCTCGTTTGTCTCTATGTGGCCCTGTGATGGACTTGCGACCCGTCCAGGGTGTACCCCGCCCCTCGCACAGTGATTGCTGGACATGGGCACCAGCGACCCCCGTGACCCGAAATGGAATAAGCGGGTAAAGAAAATGGATGGATGGATGGGGTAATTTTTTAACAGGCATGAGTTGGGCCATGACCAAATCATTACATGCATTTCAAGAAATTCTGTATTTCACTGCGCTTCAATTGATCCATCATTTGCAAAAATAGTTTTTGATCAAGGTAAACATTTTAGATTTCTAACCTCACCTGTTCTCTGAAGTCTCTAAAGTTTCACATCAGAATATGTTCAATTTCACCTTTACTGAGATGATGATGGCGGACAATGACAGTGCCAGTATTAATCTTAATGACAGGACTTTTTTCCTTTATGGAAACAAATTTAAAATCATTCACATGTGATAATATAAAATACATTTGTAAGAATAAATACCAGTGGTCAGCCAGCATTGCTACAATATTTAATGATCAGGATTGTTTCTTGTACTGAAAAACTGGATAATTTAACGGTAATGAGTTCCTGTGAGAGCTATCAGCTCAGCCGCACTGTGAGGTATTTAACAGGAGATGAGAGGTTTTGTTTAGTTAGAGTTTAGTAAAATGCTAAAATGTTGCTGCCAGAGTCTTAACTGGAGTTTAGTAGGAGAGATCATATCTCTCCAGTTTTAGCTTCTCTCCATTGGCTCCCTGCAAGTCCAGAATTTAATTCAAAATCTTACTTCTAACCTACAAAGTTCTCAACAACCTAGCTCCATCTTATATTACAGATCTTATTGTTCCATATTTTCCTAACAGAGCACTTCACTCTCAGACTGCAGGTTTACTTGCGGTTCCTAGAGTTTCCAAAAGCAGAATGGGAGGAAGATCTTTCAGTTATC